CTATGTCAGGGCCTTCACACGTACACACATGCATATGCACAGACACGCACACTCACACTGCCCACATATATGAACATGTGCCACACGTGTGCTAATACAAATGCGTGCAGAAGCATGCCCCCCCCCCCACACACACACACACAAACACCTCTTTGCCTGATAAGAATGTCACTCCCCTTGCTCCTCAAGTGAAATCTTGCTTCCCCGCCTTCCTCCTTCCCACTTCACTTCCATGGCCTGGTTTTTGGCCCCTGGAAGGAGCCCCTGGGGGCTCACTCCTTGGCTGTTCTTGTTGTGAAGACAGCAGGGCGGCCTTCAACCCACAGGTGGTTCTGCTCACTTGACGCTTACTTAAAGTGGCCAAGAAATTTCCCAGGAAAGGCCCGCAAGCCAAGGGCATCTGGGCATCTTCCCAGAAGCCTTCAGCGACTTCTCATCTGAAATGGTCTGGAAGTTTACCAGAATTTCACCAATTTATCTAATAGGTAGGGATAAGGATGGGACAGATGTGCATCTTTGCCTCAACAAGGAGATCTGGGCCTGGGCGAGAAGAGCTTACACTGTTACCCTAGGAGTCCTGGGGGCTTAGGGAGAGGTAACAGGCAGCTGGACCCCATGTAGTCAGGTGGGGAGGAAGGATTCAGCTGTGAAGTCTCTCCAGGGCCATGCAGGATGGGAGTGGCCTTCATCTGGGGACCCCCAGGAATTCTTGCTGCTCCAATGCCTTGCTGTCCTTGGGAGATGTGACTCATTTGGGGGAAGATTTGCCCTTTTGCTCCTGAGCCGGCCAAGCAGAAGCCTCTCACCAGCACTGAGAGCTGCCTCAGCCCACCTGACCGTCCTCCACCTCTCAGCATTTTCCTCTGTCCCCTGACTTGTCACTTCCGGTCCCTGCCATCGTTGTCAGCTGGTGAGACAGGGGCGGTGTGGTCCCAGCTCCCGCATACAGGCAGACACCTTTCCCTTTTCATGTCTGAATTGATAGGGGTGTGATTGGTTCCTCCCCATACCAACAGATCCTGTTAGACTTGATTTATTGAACACTTACCAAGCTGAGAGCTCCACTGGTGCAGTGGTTGCAGCATCTACTCACTAACCAAGAGGTCACCAGTTCAAACCCACCAGCCTGTCTGCAGGAGAAAGGTGAAGCGGTCAGCTGCTGCGAGGAGCCCTCCAGGCAGTTCCCCCACGGGGCCACTCCCTGTCAGCATTAGCTCCACGGCAGGAGTTTTGATGGGGTGTTGGTGGCACGGTCTCACTCTGTCTGCCAGTTTGTTGTATGTGAGGCTTTCGTGTTGATGTGATGCTGAAATCTGTCACCATCGTTCCTCTTACCAACAGGGTCACCCATGGTGGGGAGGTTCTACTGGAAATTCTAGATGGGGACAGACTGGGAAGCAAGGGCTTGTGGTCTATTTCTGAAAATCAACCAATGAAACGCCTCCAGATCACAACAGACTGTTTCGTGGTGAGGTGCTGGGAGGCGAGCACCCCAGCTAGAAGGGTCCCAACACACAGGGGCTGCGGTGCCAGAGTCACCGTGAGTCAGAGCCATGGCCCCTACAGTGAACCACCACACACTGCAGTTCTCACAAGCCCCACGAGACCTTCCTATCTTCAAGATGAGGACAGCGAGGTGCCATGAGGTTACCTGTCTGCTGGCAACGTTGCTCGTTGAATCAATAATGCATCATGGTGCTCACGGCAGAGTCCTGGCACGCCATCAAGGCATTCAGCACCAGCCTTGGGGAGAAAGGCTTCTGGGGGGCATGAAGTTTGGTAACAGTCCAGGTCTGCTGCTCACCCTGTGTGTGTGCTGAGTGGGGATCGAATCCTCACCCACCTGTGTGCGTTAGGTGCCTAGTGCTTTGTTGTTGTTGTTGTCGTCGTTGTTAGATGCCATCATGTTGAATGTGACCCATAGCAACCCTATGAATGACAGACCTGAACCCTGTTCTATCCTGAGCCATCCTCACAATCTCTGACAAACTTGAGCCCGTTGCTACAGTCACTATGTCAATCCACCTGGTTGACGGTCCTCCTTCACTTACCCCACCTTTTAAAACATGATGTCCCTTTTCAAGCAATGGCCTCTCCTAGTAACATGTTACAAGTATGTGAGATGAAGCTTCATCATCCTTGCCTCCAAGGAGTATTCTGGCCACATTTCCCCCCAAGATGTATGTGTTTGTTCTTTTGGTAGTCCATGGGATATGCAGTACTTTTCTCCAGCACCAGAGCTCAAAGGCATCAGTTCTTGTATCATCCTTATTTATTGCTCCCAAATGCTTAGTATGTGATTGAAAAACCATGGCCTGAATCAGGCACACCTTACAAACTGGCATCATTTCTCCTCAACAATTTGGAGAGGTCTCCAACTGCAGACTTTCCCCGCACAATATATCTCCTGGTCTTACTGCTGGTAGCTAGGGTATTGATTGTGGATCCAAGTATGATGAAGCTGTTGACTGTTTCAGTCTTTTCTCCATTTATCATTATGTTGCCTATCAGTCCAGTGATGAGAATCTTGATGTTGAGATGCAACCCGAATGGAAGGCTGCAGTCTTTGATCTTCTGCCGTGAGCACTTCGAGTCCTCCTCACTTTCAGCAAGCAGGGTTGTATCATCTGCATAATGTAGGTTATCGATGAGTCTTCTGCTGATCCTGATCCCACATTCTGCCTCATAATCTAGTGCTTTAGCATAAATTTATTATCTCATGTTTTAGGAGTTTAGGACACCAGCTCTAGAGGAAGTCTCCCTCTGTCAGCTCTGAGGGAAGGTCCTTGGCTCCTTTCAGCAGCATTCCTGGGAGCTCTCCATTGGCTATGACATCAGTCCTCTGCTGGGTCTAGAAGGTTCTCAGCACAAGGACACAAGGTCCAAAGTATGTACTCTTCTCTCTCTTTTCTTAGTGGTAGTTGGTTTCTCTGAGCTCTACTTACTTGTTTAATCTTTTTTACATTTCAGAAGAGATTGACTTAAGATAACACCTAATCCTACAGATTGTACCCTATCTCGTCTTTTGCATAACTACCTCTAATTAATATCATGCTTTTGTTGATAGGTGCTGTCAAATTGAATACAACTCATAGTGACCTTATGAACAACAGATCTGAACCCTCTCCTATTCTGTGCCATCCTCACAATCTTTGACATACTCAAGCTAATTGCTGTAGTCACTGTCTCAGTCCACGTGTTGAGGATCTTCCTCTCTTTCCTAGCATGATGCCCCTCTCCAAGGAATAGCCTCTCCTAATAATATACCCAAAGTATTAAAATGAAGCACACTGTTATCTGTCTGCTGTTAGGGACCTCTCCAGGGTACTGAAGAGCAATGGTGTCACTCTGGAGACTAAGGTGTGTCTGATACAGGCTATGGTCTTTGCAATCACTTGTTACGCATCAGAGAGTTGGACAATGACTAAGGAAGATAGAAGAATTGATGCCTTTGAGCTGTGGTGCTGGAGAATAGTATTGAATGTACCCTGGACTGCCAAGAAAATAAACAGATTTATCCCGGAGAGAGTTAAACCAGACTGCTCCTTGGAGGCAAGGATTCTGAGGCTTTGTCTGACATACTTTGGACATGTAAGGAGGGACCAGTCCTTGGAGAAGGACATCATGCTTGGGAGGGTAGAGGGACAGCACAGGAGAGAAAGGCCCTCTATGAGATGGATTGATTCAGTGACTGGGGTAATTGGGATGGGTGTGTCAGAGGCAGTGAGATTGGCACAGGATAGGGTTTAGGGCTGTTGTACATAGGGTCGCTATGAGTGGCAAGCAACTCGACGGCACATAACAACAGCAACAACAACTGTCATCTTTGCTTCCAAGGAGCACTCTGGCTGCACTTTCTCTAAGACACATCTGCTTGTTCTTTTAGCAGCCCATGGGATATTCAACACTCTTCTCCAACACCACAACTCAAAGGCATCAATTCTTATTCATTGTACAGCCCTCAGATGCATAGCAAGGGATTCAATAGATTAGGCACACCTTAGTCTTCAAACTGACACCATTATTAATGACACTAGAGGTTTGGATTTACAACACATAGAAGAATCTCATCAAATCACAATGGAAGATAATCACACAACTTGACTCATCTTTTGGGAGACACATGATGTGGTGGTGAAGAAGGGACACAGCCTGAGTGGAGGCCTCTCTTGCCCACCCTTCCACCTTCCTTGCCTCTTTAGCATTTAAAGTAGGTTTCAGAGTTCCATCTCTGAGTTCACCTGCACCTTTAACAGTCAATGAGCAAAGCTGAAAAATGCATTTCAACGCTGATTTTAAAAACTCTTTTCAGAAATCTTACTGTAGCTTTCATTGCCAACATTCAGCTGCTGTTCTAGAAAATGCTTTCCATCTCTCCCCAAATTGGGGTGCACCTGGGTTCGAGGAGGCCCTGAAGAATAAGCACAGATTGGTTCTTCTTTCCTGGAGAAAGAACCATGATGTACCCACAAGGGTCTCAAGTTCACTGCCATGCTGAGCTTTGGGGCTTCAGGGCTGTGACATGGATTCATCTCATCCTCAGGTGCTGGCACTTCAGCTTCCCTAAGCCACTGCACTTCAGAGTGGTGGGTGGAAGAGAAAAGAAGGTGTTGATGGGCTTTCTAAGTGTCCCAATTACTCGTATCCCAAGATATTAAGAATCCTGTTCATCATCTCATTACTGTTCCCAGCTCTAAACATAAGGGCCCTTGTTCTTAATAGAGTCAGATTTTTAACTTATTTTCCCCCAAGGTATTAATCAAGGAATGCAAGTCATTTCTCCCCTAAACTTTCTTGTTTAATTTAGAGATGGTGGTGGAATCTTTCTGGGTTTTCCTTCTGCTTTCTCTGTTTTCCTTCTGTCCTCACCAGGTTTGGTGTCCAGAAGGCATGGCCCAGAGGACCAGGACACCTCCTCTGCCATGGCGTTGCCCCCAGCTTCATGACTCAGTGTGCCTGCTGTGGACTAAACAAGTGTCTGTTCATCTGGTCTGTTCTAGAGTTGGTGATGTTGCTGGAGTGGTGGTCAGGGACGGAATGCACCCTCTACACAGATCCCCGAGACTACACCAAGTATGGCAAAGAGAACGCCATTGTAGTGCTTAACCACAAGTTTGAGATCGACTTCCTCTGTGGGTGGACCCTGTCAGAACGATTCGGGGTCTTAGCGGTAAGTAGGATTCCACTTGGCTATATCACATCTTTTTCTTGTCCAGGACTATCACTCACTGGCTTCACTCTCAGACTTTCAACCCAGAAGTTGTAAAAGCATCAACAAAGTTTCTAACCAGCAGTGTTTTGTTCTTGGCATTGAGATTAACATCCTCTTTTGAGCAATAGTAATTGATTCAACAATTATGATGTATTAGGAATTTTATGTACAGTTATTTTAATCTTGTTGTTGTTGTTAAGTGCTGTCAAGTCACAGGCGACTCATAGTGACTCTATGAAGGAGAGTCCTCAACGCTTGGGTGCCTTTCATCCTCTCTCCAGGTTCATAGGGTTTCCGGAGGCAAGCTATTATGGAAGTGGATGCCACTCCTCCTTCCAAGCTTGTTTTAATCGGGGAGCTCCTCCCCACTCTCAGTCCGCATTGGGTAACCAACCATTAATGCATTTGACACATCAGTGTCACAGTGTTCAGCCTCACAGCAACCACAAGTTATCGTTGTACGGCAACTTGTACACCAGGGCTATACGACCTAGAGGAATGTCTGAACAAAAACAGTGAGAAACAGGCCCAAGGGGCGTGGATTAAAAGTCACTCACCTTTGGCTTGGTAGCATCACTTTCTGTTCACTGGGCCAGCTGATCTCTCTCTCTGTCGATTTTAATCTTACAGAGACATTTATGAGTAGAAAATGCTACCGATTCTTTTTCAAAACTAAGTTAAAGAGGCTTTAGCTATTTCCCTGAAGGTCATACTGTTGTCTACTAGATGTGGATGGATTTGAACTCCTGACCAGCTTTACTCTGATTTTTATTTTTCATTGTCATGCTTCCTTGCTTCCTTGAATAATAGGCAGAACCTCCTTCTCACTTCTGGTCTTTGTAGACTTAAGATCATTGACTCAATATACAAGAGCTTGAATTCCAGCATTTATTATTAAATAAGAAACTCTGTTTTCCTCCAACAATTTTGTCTTCTTGTGTATAGCATGCAAGTGATTAAATTCTATAAAAAGGTATTCTCACCTTTTGTGTTATTTGTGTAAGTATTATGTTTAAATGTGTCCAAAAAGTTGAAGGCATTGTGTATAATAATTTCATCCTCTATGTTCTTCAAAGGTTTGCAGAAATACAGTAGAATAGATCCACTGTCTATGTTGTTTCAATAAAATCATGTTTTAAATGGAAACATTTGGAACTAGGCTTTTAGTTTGGCCTTTGTTGTCTTAACAAGGAGAAAATGTTTAGTGGTTGACATGGTGTCAGCTGACTGACTCAGAGTCCCCAGGACTGTCAGGGACTCCAAGAAGCACCAACGTATGTTGAGTCAGGGCAACGTAAGTTGAGCATGGGAAGGTATGACCACTCCTCTCCCTAACTGGAGACCCTGCTTTACACCAGGGAACACACCCACACTGACAGGGAGGAGCCTTCTCACATGAACCCTGGTTCTGGTCACCCCTGTGACAGTCAGACTGTATAGAATGCAGAGGACTGAAGGCCAGCTCTGCTTTCTCCTTTGGAAAGTCTGCCTGATCTGCCAGCCTTCTGGTTATCAGCTCAAGTCTTAACCTACCAAAAGGAGAAAACATTCAAATGTCTTCATCCCCGCCTTTCATGGACGCCAGGAGTTGGTGGGATAGCGCTTCTGTGTAAGGAGAAAAGGTGTATGGCACCTTTCCAACTTGGCTGTGACAATGCTGGCTTTATGTCCTTAAATGTCAACATGGCTTAACATGTCAGTTCTAATGGGATACTAAGACCCGAAGGGCAGCTTAGAGGTGGCTAGGATTTGGCCAAGGCATCCCAAGTAGATTTTGGCTGTGTTCAAGCTTCCAGTGTGAGATTGTTTGTAATTTGTGGGCAGGAGCCACGGGGACATAGCAAAGTATCTCCTGGACTTGGAGTCACTTTAGATGTCCGTTTGTGCCCTTGGCTGCTTCCTGGCCTTGGATTTTCACTCCAGCCAGGCTTGTGTGTGCTGCATCTGTGATGCCCCCTGAGTTCTGCTACGGCTGACTTCCTGGTCTGACTGGCTGCCGTTTATGAGGAAACTCTCGAGCCTCAGTAGACTCACTGATCTGCCCAGGGATGACTGCTAGTTAAGTCTCATTTCCAAGCCTCTACTTATGCCCCTGGAAAGCGTGGAGGGGGGAACTGCAGGACAGCAGGGACTCGAGGCCTGGTGCGGAGATGGGCCAGATGCCAGGATGTGGGGCGAGGGACAGGCTTCCAACACCCCTCCCAGCGTGATGATCTGGGCTCATTCTCGGGGCGAAAGTCATCTACACTTTGGTCTTGGTTGTCTGGTGCTGCTGGAACAAATATACCGCGAGCAGCTGGATTTATCAAGCGGAAATGCACTCTCTCACGTTTTGAGGGGTGGGATGTCTGAGTGTACAGCGGCAGCCCTAGGAGCAGGCGTTCTCTGCTAGCTGCAGTCTAAGAGTGAGATCTTTGTCTCTTCTTAGCATCTGTAGGTCTCGTGTTCCTGGTTTTAAGGACTTGGGTCCAGTCACAGCTCTCCTTTCTTGGTGGTTCTCTGGTCCCTTTACTCTGCTCCCTTCCATCTCCTCTTATCTCTTGTAAGGAAAGAGGCCTGCAGAGCGTACCTCAGCGGTACTCAGGGGGGTGACATGAAGGGTGCTATTGCATCTGCCACTAACCTTCTTACAACTGATTGGCTTATCAGATCGTACAAAGTCTGTTACATAATTGCCAACCCACTGAGAATCATGGCTGAGCCACGATGACACATTTGGGGGGCACACGATTCCATCTATGGGCCGGGCAGGAAAGAACCAGGCGAACAGAGAGTCTTGGAGAAGCCTCTGTTGTTGTTATGTGCCGTCAAGTCGTTTTCGACTCATAGCGACCCTGTGTACAACAGCCCTAAACCCTGCTCTATCCTGTGCCAATCGCATTGCCTCTGACACACCCATCCCAATTACCCCAGTCACTGAATCAATCCACCTCATAGAGGGTCTTCCCCTCCTGTCCCTCCACTCTACCCAGCATGATGTCCCTCTCCAAAGACCTGTCTCTCCTTATAACATGACCAAAGTATGTCAAACAAAGCCCCAGAATCCTTGCCTCCAAGGAGCAGCCTGGTTTAACCCTCTCCAGGATGAATCTGTTTGTTTGCTTGGCAGTCCATGGTACGTTCAATACTCCTCTTCAGAACCACAGCTCAAAGGCGTCAATTCTCCTTCTGTCCTCCCTAGTCATTGTCCAGCTCTCTGAGAGCCGGAGAAGCCTCTGGTCTACCCCTAATCAGACAATTGGGGCTGACATACTCTCAAATGCTGTGCTGTGGAGTCAGAACCGACAGACAGCTGGTCATCCAGGTGGGTTTCAGGGGCTGCAAATCGCCGAGTGTCCATCTTTCTCCCACGGAGCCACTGGTAGATTCCAGCCACAAAAGAGGTGCCACAGTGAGTGAGGTTCACGGCTCCTTAGGGACCTCGCCACAGTGGCTCGAGACCGACACAGGAGGTGAGAAAGATGGGCCCCGGCAGAGAACGTGGAGAGGAGAGTGATCAGGGACAGGCCCCCCAGAGTGCTGGCTCCAGCCCAGGACCATTTGGGCTTTTACTGCCAAAAGCTCAGAGATTCGTGATCATGGTACAATTTAGAGCCCTGGGGAATAACGCCTCATTTAAAATATACTGATAAATGGGTCATTCCAGAGTCTGCAGCAAAGAGTTCCATCTCCAACCTTGCATTAGTCTAGGAAAACCGTATTTATAAAATGGACAAGATTATTAGATGTTGCTGATGACGCAGTCTGTAACTGCCACCAGAAAGGCTGCATGACTCCGGTAGTTCAAATCTGCCGGCCTCTTCCAGAGAAAGAAGGCACCTCCTGTGAAGGTGCAGCCCCGGAAACCTGATGGAGTGGCCCTGTTAGGCAGAATCGACTCCACAGCAGGAAGGTGGAGTGCTTTGTTTTTTGTAAATAAAAGATTATTATTTTTAAAAGCAAAAAGCAACCCCACCTCAAACTAGTTTAAAGGAGAGAGGGCGCTCCTGTTTGCTTGGGTGGCTTGGCTGCTGACGGACCCAGAAGTTAGAGGTGGGGTTTCTCAGAACCTCTGACTGGATCCGCAGTCTCCCACCCTCTGCAGGATTTGCGGGGCTCTGCTCATGGGGCAAGCCCCTGGTCTTCTGTGGAAATGCTTCTGGACCCCTTCTTTGCTTCAGGGCACCTTGGGGAGAGGATGAACAGCAGGGTAAATCATTTTCTTCCTTTCCGCACACCCTGCAAACCCTAGAGATGGTGTTCCACACATTCCAGTGGACCCCGGGCTGGGGACAGCAGGCACCCAGGAGTGGGTGAGGGGAAGGACCTCCGGGAAGCAGGCCAACCCGGCAGAAGCCACCAGACTGTGCCCTCTCATGCCATCTGTGTTGGGTCCTAGAGGAGCCGGCTAATGAGTGACACCAAGAGATGCTGGCTTCTTTCCAAAGCAGTCTGATCATTCCTACTGCCGCTGAAAGCACAGGCGTCCTGGGTTCTGAGAGATCCCCTAACTGTCTCTGCGTGGAATCGTAGGGCAGTTGGATTGCTGTCCAGTGGGAACTGACTCAGCGGAGCTTCTGCTGGGTTTTTGGAGGCTGTCAGTTAGAGAGGAAGCGATTGCCTATCTCTCCTGTGGAGCCGCTGGTGGGTTTGAAACCCTCTGAGAGGGGTCACCTGTGATTAGCAGATCAAGTGCCCAAGGCAGATCAAATGCCACCAGAGGGCATCGTGAGCCTTACTTTAAGGCCCAGTGGTAAGAAATTGTGCTGCCAACGTAAAGGCGTGTGGTTGGGGTCCACCAGCTTCCCTTGTGTGATCTGCAGACTCTGACAAAACCCACTGGAGGCCCAGCTGTGGGTTGGTTCCAATGTCAAGGCCATGAGTTGTTTGTTGTTTAATGAAGGGAAGGCTTCAAGCATTTTCAAAGCTTTCCTTCCATGTACAGCAAGGAAAGGTGATTGTGATGACTTTGTTGCAAGCAGAGCTTGGTTCGCTCACTTCAAGGTCAGGGCAGATTCACATGATACTAAATTTAGGGCCAGTTGTTTTGTGCTGTCAAGTTGGAACCAATCCCTAACTGACGCTCCAGTGGGTTTTCAGAGGCAGTAAATTTCACTGCCTGTCCTTCTCCCCCAAAGGGCAGGTGGGGGGTGTGATCCAGGCCCCTCAGCTGTGTAAGAAGCACCTTTCTGGGATAATAGTTGCTCAACACTGGTTTGGGTCTTAAATTGCCTTCAGACACACACACACACACACACACACACACACACACACACACACTCTTTCTATCTCTTCTTTGCACGTACACACACACACACACACACACCCCTTATTCATGTTCTTCTTTTATAAAATAATAATGATGATGTTGAGATCCAGAGTCTGAGGCTTTTGCTTTTAACAGCAGAGAATTAAAAAGCATTCCTGACGCAGTGCTTTTCATCTTCACATATGAGAAGAAGGTTCAAAAAGAAATGAGTCTAAGTTGAATAGATGAGTTTGCAGACATTCTTGAGAATTGGGGCATTAAATGTGAAATGGGGTATTTGAGGGGAAGGGGACACATGGTGGGATTAAAAAGAAACAAGGCTTCCCATCTTGGGGAGTTCTGGAGTCCAGAGGCCAGAGGCTGTCCTGAGGCCTTTCCAAGCATGCTCCTCTGTCCTCAGAGGTGACCATCAGTTCACAGACTGACACCCCCATGGCCGAGTCCAAACACGCACCCCTGTTCAGAGGAGCGTGGGAGGTCCGAAGTGCTGAGGAGATGCAGCATCAAAGCCAAGGGCCAAGGTTTCTGAAGCTCCCGGGTCCTGTTTACATCTCTGCTGCCTCAGTGAAATACGTCTGCCGCCTACCAGCGGCCCCAGCAGGCTGGACACGATCCTATTTTACCAAGCCCCCAAACCAGGCCAGGCCTGTGGAAAACACACCCAGCCCAGTAGCTGTCCTGATCCGTGTTTATATGCTGGAGGCCGTGGGGCTCAGAGGCCAGTGCTGAGGCCATCAGGGCACTTCCCGTCATCCTTCAGGAATCCACATTAGTTACTGATGGTAGGCCCAGCCCCCTTCTGCTTGGTGCACCAGAGTGTGTTGTCTGTGGCCGGGTCACGTTGGGGAAGGCCTGACTTGTCTGAAGCCCGATGTAGCACATGCATGTTTCGGGTCATGCTTGCCTCGGTGTCCTCGGGCACCATCACAGAACGCCACGAGGAGGGTGGCTTTGAGGAGAGCCACAGCGTGGAGGCCGGGGGGCCTGGGTTTAGGCTGTCGGCTGTGCCCCTCCTTTGGGGACTCGGAGAGCAAGCTCCTCACGCCTGTGTCCTCACGCCTGTGTCCTTGTGACTCCCACAATCTTCGGGGTTCCTTTGGGACTTAGGATGGGTCTTCCCGTGGTGTCTCCGTCCTGTGTGCCTCCCTCCTTGTCTGTTCTGATTTGTAAACACCGCGTAGAAGCGGGTGGCGTAGCTGGTAGGGTCGTGCACTGCTCATCCGAAGGCCTCGCCTTCCTGGCGGCCATGGAAACTCCCTGGAGCGTGTGCTGCGCGCTGGACGGCAGGGAGGGAGATGCAGACGCAGGTCAGGAACGGCTCCGCTCCTTCCCCAGATGAGGTCTTGCTCGGGGGGAAGGTCTCTTCAGGCCTCTGGTGTGAGTGCTTGTGAATTTTTAGTGAATTCTCCTATCGTCATGACCCATCAGTGCTCATGGCCCCTGTGGTCCTTCTCTCTCTCTTAGGCCTCCAAAGTTCTGGCCAAGAAGGAGTTGGCCTATGTGCCCATCATTGGCTGGATGTGGTACTTCCTGGAGATGGTGTTCTGCAAACGCAAGTGGGAGGAAGACCGCAAGACCGTCATGAAGAGTCTGCTCAACCTCCGCGATTACCCCGAGAAGTTCTTTGTACGTGCACCTCCCCTCGCCTTGCTGGCCCCCGGGCCGTTCACTCCCTCTGGGAGACGTGTCCGCACACACGCTCACGGCCCAACACACTCGCAGTCTGTCTCCAACTCTCTCTCTCTCTCTCTGTCCCACAGTGTTTCTCCCACAGCCTCTTGGTCACACTCCATCCAGTCAGTGTGACACGGCCTCTCTCACCCTCGTGGCCTCTCTCACCCGCATGGCCTCTCTCACAGTCTCTCCTGGACACTGTCTGTCACACACAGCCTGCTTCACTCTGAGCGTCTCACGCACGCACGCACGCGCACGTGCGCGCGTGCACACACACACACAAAGCCTCTCGGTCACACTCCATCCAGTCATTGTAATACACATGGCCTCTCTCACCCGCATGGCCTCTCTCACGGTCTCTCCTGGACACTGTCTGTCCCACACAGCTCTCCTAGTCTCACACACACACAGCCTCTCGGTCACACTCCACCCAGTGTAACACACACAGCCTTTCTCACGGTCTCTCCTGTACCCTGTGACATAGCCTGCTTCTCTCTGAGCGTCCCACATACACACAGTCTCATATACACAGTCTGTCATCTATAGCCTCTCTCTGTCTAATAGTCTCTCACACACACAGTCTGTCTGACCCACAGGGTCTCTCTCTCACTGTGCTTCTCTCTGATACAACCTCTCCAGTACCGTCATTCTCACGCACAGCCTGTCCCTCATGGAATCACACGGAGTCTCTCCGACACATAGTTCCTCTTACACACTCTCATATACAGTCTCTCGATCACACACAGTCTCTCACACACAATCTCTCTTGTACACAATCTCTGTCTTCTCTCTTACAGTATCACACAGTCCTTCTCTCTCTCTCTCTCTCTCTCTCACACACACACATACACACACACACACACTCTCTCTCTCTCTCTCTCTTTCTCACAGCACACAAACACATGCACTCTCAAGGTCACACACCCAGGCTCATGCTTTTTCACTTTCTCTCTCTCTGTGGGTTGGAATCACCTAAGAAGGGGACCGTGCGCGCTCTCTCTCTTTCTTCTCTCTGTCTCTGTCTCTCTCTCTCTCACACACACACACACTACCCTCCTCCCTACTTCCCACGCCCCAGCAGCTGGGAAGTCCTGTGGGTTGGATACACCTAAGAAGGTGGCCATGCTTTCTCTCTCTCTGTCTCTCTCTCACACACATTGCCCACCCACCCCTTACTTCTCACGCCCCAGCAGCTGGGAAATCCTGTGTGTTGGATATAAATAAGAAGGTGACCCCTTGGAGCACCACAGAGCAGTAGCTCAGAGAGGAAGCATGACATCTGGGCAGACCAAGAGGGAGAGGAGGCACCCACAGAGGGCAGGGGGGATGCAGAAGGGCTTGGGGTGGAAGGACCACAGAGGGTCCAGGCCGCCGGCCCCCATGGTGGTGACACATCTCTGTCCCCACAGTTCCTGATCCACTGTGAGGGCACACGCTTCACAGAGAAGAAGCACCAGATCAGTATGCAGGTAGCCAAGGCCAAGGGACTGCCGGGCCTCAAGTACCACTTGCTGCCACGCACCAAGGGCTTTGCCATCACCGTGCGGAGTTTGAGAAATGTAGGTAAGGACCGCCCTGCACCCCACGGCAGCCCCTAATGACTTTTCCTTGGCAGCACCCCGTGGGCGGACAGGACAGCACCCAGTCTAGTCCAGGACCTCCTGGAGCAGCAATGGTGTCGTGTTGCCTGTCTGCCAGCACTGTTCCCTGCTGTCCCATGGGACACTGCAGGGCTGCTGAGGGTGCTAGAAGCTGGATGAAGATGCTGGATCCCTGGAGAAAGTGCTGGAAGCTTGGCAAAGCTGCTGGAACCCGGGCGAAAATGCTGGAACCCCAGTGAAGGTGCTGGAAGCCTTTCCAATGTTCTGGAACTCTAGGGAAGCCACAGGACCTCCAGAGAAGGTGCTAGAACACTTGCAAAAGGTCTGGAGCTCTGGCAAAGGTGCTGGAACTCCGGTGAAGTTGCTGGAACCCCAGCGAAGGTGCTGGAAGCCGGGTGGGCCTGCATACCCAGGAATACACTTGCTGCTCCTGTGTCCGGCTAGTGGCCAGCCCTTCTTAACTTAGGCCCATGATTGCAGAGGAGATGACCAAATGGTAACAGCCAACAGCTGTCAAAAAGTAGCCCCCAGCCCTTCCTGCAGCCTCGCCTCTCGTTCAGAAGCCCCAGCCTGTCTTCCTTGGCCTTTCTCCAGGCGCCACAAAGAGGACTTGATGCCACTCTTAACCCTGTGATGATGACCTCCCCAGACAGCTGACTGTCTCTGACCAGCGGATGAAGTCGAGGCTGGAATCAGCAGAGGCTGCTGTCCCCCAGTTGCTGTCAGGCTGTGGGGGACCCTGGAAAAAGCTCACTTCCAGCAATCCCCATCTTCTGTCTGTGCCACAAGGCTAGAAAGAACAGGGTATGCTGGGCACCCTGGCATTGACTTCTGTGGGGATTTAGGGAAGAGAGATGGACAGATAGATGGTCAAGGGGTCTTCTGCTGCCCCCTCCAGCTGCCCATCAGAGCAGGGAGCTTTGTGAGTCTGCAGCCCAGCCTCTGGCAGGCTCCTGGATGGAACGCACTAGGGAGGGTTGTAGACTTTTCAGAGGGTTCTAGGCTCGAAGCTGCATCTTCTGCATGGACCACCCTCCCAGGGCTATAAACATCGCCCTCTAACTCAAGTCATTGTGCTCTGTCAAACTCCTTGGCTCTCATCCAGTCTGAGCTCAAGACCTAGAAGCAGCCCAGCTCTGTTCTGTGTTCAGGCCTCTCATTCTGGGGGTCATGCTCAGACCTCCTCGCTCTGGCCCCATCCAGGTAACGGGGAGCCTGAGTTCCTCCTGCCCTCAGTCTCCTTTCCCACCTCTTCCTCAGTCATTGTCCTGCCTGACTCGCTGGCCTGGGCCATGCTGCCACATCACATCTGCTGTCAGGGCTGGAAGATTCTGGGGAGGCAGCAGCTCACCCCACTTGGGGGACTCTGCAGGTGCCTCCCACAGGGAATGTGCCCCAAAGGGCCTCGCTGTCTACAAACCTCTTTGGCTTGCAGCTGCCCTGCTCGCCAACACCCAGGGTCCTGGGTGCACATCCCCACGCCCAGTGTCCTCACAGAGGGGATGAACACCCCTGAAGTGGCCAGTGTCCTGTGCAACACATGCTCACTGCACCAGTGTGCTGGGTTCCACTTGACTGCAGGCCGCAGGCCAGGAAGACCAGCTCAGAGAAGCTGAGGCCCTTGGCTGAAGTCACACAGTGTTACATGGTGAAGCGAAGTCCCACTCAGGCAGCCCCAAGTGTCTTACACACCCTGTCTTACTGATAAGGGCTCTGTACCCAGTTGAGTCACCCTAAGATATTTCTTGGGGTTCCTTTGCTGTAAAGTGAGGGAAACTGTGAATTATTCTGAGGAACTCCAGGGTTTCTCCCCAACTTTGTTGACAAAAGAATGCCTCTTGTTTCTTCGTGCTTTGTGTTTCCGGCTGAGATCCGAGGTGCAGAATTGCGGGCCTCCTCACCCTCAGGCCCTCCGCCCCAGCCAGCGCCTGACGGGGTCTCCTCACGCCCATACCCTCTGCCCCGGCCAGCTCCTGACTGACCTCATCACCCTCAGGCCCTCCACCCCAGCCAGCTCCTGACTGACCTCATCACCCTCAGGCCCTCCGCCCTGGCCAGCTCCTGATGGTCTCATCACCCTCAGGCCCTCTGCCCCAGCCAGATCCAACAGGCCTCTCTCCATGGATGGTGGCCAGCTCAGCCACACCTGTGGTGCAGAATCTCTGAGGCTGTGGGTCAATGGCCTGGCCAGGGGGCCACTCACAGTGAGGGGGAGACTGGTCCCCCCTCTGGGAGCATAGTCCCAACAGCACCTGGCCCAGGACGGGGAAGGGGGCTCAGTGTCCCAGCCGTTTATGGCATGGCACCCTGGTGGCCTGGCTGCAGGTCTCATGGCTGGTGGTCTCATCTTTAAATCTTGGGGCCTTCTACCTGTCCTGTCACCCCTGTATGTGTGCACTGGGCAGCATCAGCACATAATCCTTGTGGGCCCCAGGTTGGTGCCTGCCATCCTCCAGCTCAGCCTTGGGCATAGAAGGTGACCTTAGTTCCCTTTCATAGGTGAGCTTGGCTCCGACACAGTGACAGGGTGGCTCATGGTAACTCTGCGTTTCCTGTCGCAGACACGGGCCCCGTCAGCCACCGGCATCGTCGCGCTGCAGCATGGCCCAGAAGGCAGCCGTCTAGTTCTGTGCCCACGGCTGACTCGGGCAGGCTGCTGGCTGCTGTGCTGTGATGTCCTCACGCATGCACTGTCACCCACTGCTTTCTGGGCTCTTGCGCAGCCCCACCCACAGCTGGGAAGTTTGGCCCACCTTTGCCTTTGTGGGCAGACTCACCACTTGGTAAACCCACTGATCACACCTTCTGCTTGCTTCCAGCTGTCAAGAGTTCAATTCCTTAAGGAAGTTCCAGCCACCATGTTGCCCGACTTGTATATCAGTCTTCTTTTTCTAGGGAAAAGGCTCACAGTGTGGGTATTTCGCTGCCAACACATCTTTAGCTAGGTGGGCTAATTAACCTTGTCACTAGTATTTTAAAACTCAGTATTTGTTGACCAAGGTAGCCTGTGTGTGTGTCAGAAAACTCTCTAGAGATTGGCCGATGATGTCACTTGCTTTAGACACATCTGACCTCAGCGATCGCTCTGACTTCCACTGCTGACTTAGAGTGTGACTTTGCAATCCTGAAAGGAAACATGGGGCCAAGACAGAACATTCACACGAAATCTGTTACCTTGCCGCCCTGAGGTGTCCGGCTAATGCTTTGTCTCCCTATATGTATATCTGCAGGATGAGATTGGGTTCACATGCTATCGACTGCTTTATATTTGTTTTATTTTTTATAGTTTCAGCTGTATATGACTGTACACTCAATTTCAGAAACAATGAAAACCCGACCCTGCTTGGAGTCCTAAATGGAAAGAAATACCATTCGGATATGTACGTCAGGTAAGCTGGCCGTGGCCCGCTGGACACGGCCCAGGGTCTGTCTCGGAGACTGCAGGGGCCCACGGCTGTCTCCGGGGAAGAAGGCTTCGTGTCTTCTTACTTGGTCTGTGCTGGGTCACTGATGTCATGAACCCCAGGGACACATCCCACCCTGAGACGAAGTGGAGACTTCTCTGAGCTCCTTCTGACCTGCCCGCCGACCGAGCCCAGCTCGCTCAGACCCCCGGGGAGGATGAGGTTTCATTATCATTTTGAGGTTATTGCGAAGAGCTTTTTATTCTTCCCTGGAAGCCAGGTCTACTAGATGGCGAGAGACGCAGATAACATCATATATCATTTAGAAGACATGAAAGGAGAGGTTTCACAGCGTCTTGCTTTGTGCCATGTTCTAGGAAAGGAATGATTGTATTGAAAATGCTTTCATAAGATCTTCAAATGAACTGCCACCAGCTAATTAGATTTAAACTCATGGTCCGAGCATCAGGTTGCCCAGGCTCTAGATCTTTCTGCAAGGAGATGGCCCGTTTTTCTCCCAGACTGCTGGTGGGTTCGAACTCCTGATCTTTTTGTTAGCAAAGCAGCACACACCATACTCAGCACCAGAGCCCTTCAAAGCCCACAGCACCAGGTACTCCCAGGTGGCCTTTTGTCCCAGAACTAACCAAGCCCAGCTCTGCTCAGCTTTGGGGTCAGAGGAGATTGGGCGCATTCAGGGTGGGATGGCCGTAATCACCTAAGGTTCTAGACGCACCAGCTATCCCTGCAGTCAGCTGGGCGTGAGCAGAACCGGGGGACACTGCAGGTGGTGAACGCGGTGGTGGCTCCTAACCCCACTGTGCTGCGGGCCGGGAAGACTCTGACCCCATGTCAGGCCCCATCTTCCCCAATGGCCGCTGAAAACAATCTGAAGTGCCGGCTGGTGCAGACTGGTCAGGTGGTGCCGAACTTGCTGCCAATATCCCCACAGAGGGGATGAACCCAGCTCACCTAACACTCAGTGACTGAAAAAGAACCCCTGACAGTCCAACTAAAAAACCAACTGGGAAAAAAACACCCAAACTCAGCCTCATTCGCATCGAGTTAGACCTGACCGTCCAGGGGGTTTGTGGAGACTGAATCATGTGGAGGAGACAGCCCATTTTTTCTCCCATGGAGCAGCTAGTGGATTCGAACTGCCTGTCTTTGTGTTGAGAGTGCAAGTCCCTACCCAGTAGGCTCCTAGAGACCAACAGCAGTGGTTAAACCCTTTCCACCTAAAAGTGTCTCGCCTCGGCAGAAAGTGGAGAAGTAGCAGGCTGGCGGGCAGCACTTTGTGTCCCTAGGTGCCAAGGAGAGTCTGCTTATGGTTCAGTGACCAGCACAGCCAGCAGGGCAGTGACCACCATCCCAGAAGCAAAGGATGGCCCTAGTGGGATGCTGGGCCAGTGTGCTACTTACAAAGAGCTCTGTGGCTCGGACCACGGGAACGAGAAGAGGCAGTCTGCTTCTGTGACGATGACAGCCTCTGAAGCCCCGGGGACAGTTCTGCTCAGTCCCGCAGCGTCCTAGGAATTGAGTGAAATCCATCTGACAGCTGTGGGGTTTGTCCTTTGGTCCCCAGAAGCAAAGTGAGGTCCAGTGCCCTGGGTCCCCATAACCCCAGCAGTGGTTCCACGCACGGCTGGTGGGGCCGATTGTCTAGGGAAACCGTAGGCACGATTCTTCCTACCACTGGCCACTTGCCAGGTCAGGTCAGCTCCCTGGGGCATGGAGAACAGGCGTGAACAGCCATGGGACTGTCCAGACCGCCCTCTTCTGGTCTCCGTGGAGACTGCATCTCCATGCACTGCTGTGGTGGCCTAGTGGTTAAGGAGTTGTGCTGCCAACTCAAAGACAAGAGGCTCGATTCCCCCAGCTGCTTTGTGGGAGGTTAATGCACAGTCTCCTGTGTGATTTACTGTGAAAACCCCCTGGAGGTCAGCTGGAGATTGTTCTGACTCGATGGCAATGTCACATTCCTGAAGCATCTCTCCTGGGCACGTCAGGCATCAGTATGAAAGAATTAAGACATCCGGGGCAATCATGTCAATCAAGTTATTAAAAAGAGCAAAATCAGCTGAAGTCCCACTGCCAAAATAAAGCATGCAGCCTTTCCAACCCTCTTCAAGAAACCTGTTTGGAGACTTGGTTTCCAAGCCAGAGTCGATCGGGAAGGAGTACGCCGTTCACAAGGAGGAGTGTGTGGGAACAGGCGGTGGCCGCTCTCACATTCCACCTCGGAGAAGGAGCTCTGTCCACAAGGAGGCGGCCGGCCGGCCTCTCACACACTGTGGGCACGTTACCAGGAGGTCCGTTTAAGAAGGTCATTGTGTTTGGTAAAGCAGACACTCAGCAAAAGAGGCAGAGCCACAGAAAGGTGGACTGACCCAGCGGGCACCACACTCTAGACTGAGGGCCGGAAGGGTCTCCTGTTATGTGCATGTGACCTCAGTGAGCGAGGGACCTCAGTGAGTGAGAACCAACTCCCTGTTCTGTCCCAACGTTCATTCTTTTAACAGCTTAGGGTGTGAGGAAGGCATACTCCAAATAGTAGCTTCACAGTCTTAGAATTTTCCAGACCGGCAGAACCGAGATCACAGAAACACACTCATCTAAGAATCCGATTCATGCAGCAGTGGGAGCTGGTGTATCTGAACTGTGCAGGCCGGGTGGGAGGCTGTGAACCGCAGTGGGACATCCAGAAGCCGGCTCCTCCTTTTCACGGCTTTGATGGGGCCCCCCCGCTGGAGGGTGACTCCCTTAACGTCAACTGTGGAACTCACTCCTTGACACACGATCGCATGTAAACACCTCCACAGCCACATCGAGACCAGTGTGACAGAACAGCTGGGTGCTGCAGGCTGGCCAGGTGGACACCTCAAATAAAGCACCACAGTGTCACACATGGGGGGTCAGCGACCAGGCCCCCTGCCTTCGATCCATTCCTTCTCACCACAGCCCTCCACTGGACTCCCAGGCTGCAAATCTTTGTAAGAACAGACTGCGTCATCACAGCGGGCATGGAATGATCATGGATCATCCTGGCACGTGTGAGGTTTTACCCAGAGTCATGTCTGCTAGAACATTCTGTGGCTCACTCTGAAGCGAGCAAGAGGACGGGGAACAAGCGGCATCAGACATCACCAGATGGGCTCTGTGTGGCCACCCTCGTCTACCCAGCCCAGAGTCCCCTCAATCTCTCCTATGCCCTGGAGAATGGGGAAGTACACACCAGGACACCCCAGTGCCCAGATGGGCTCTGTGTGGCCACCCTCGTCCACCCAGCCCAGAGCCCCCTCAATCTCTCCTGACCCCTAAAGAACAGGGAAGTACACACCAGGACACCCCATGTCCAGATGGGCTCTGTGTGGCCGCCCTCATCCACCCAGCCCAGAGGCCCCCCTCAATCTCTCCTGGCCCCTAGAGAACAGGGAAGTACACACCAGGACACCCCATGTCCAGATGGGGTCTGTGTGATCATCCTCGTCCACTCAGCCTAAAGTCCCCCCCCCCCAATCTCTCCTGGTTCCTGGAGAAGGGGACAGTACACACCAGGACACCCTTGTGTCCAGATGGGCTCTGTGACCATCCCTCATCCGCTCAGCCTAGAGCCCCCCTCGATCTCTCCTGGTTCCTGGAGAACGGGACAGTACGCTGGGACAGCCCCGTTTCCAGGTGGGATCTGTGTGCTGTGTGGTGATGCTCTTGCCGCCCAGCATAGGGCCACTCCATCGATCTCTCCTCTCCCCTGGAAAACAGGGTGACTTGGGGTTTCTCTCAGAGACACAGGGTCAGGGACCCCTGAGCTGAGTTCCGCCTCTGCTGTGAAAAGTGCTGTCTCTGGGGTTGAGGAGTCACACACAGGTGTGTGAGAAGTCAGCCATGTGGCATTGGGTGTGATGTTAGGAGACTGACTGTGGGGACACAGGGCATGGAGTCCTGTGAGGACTCCACTAGGCTGAGAAGACAGAGCCCAGTGTCCTGCCTGCAGGGGCCTCTGCCTTCCCAGGGGTCCGAGGGCCCCGTCCTCCTGCAGGGTTTGTGCTCTAACAGCTCTGATCAGCAGTGCTCACATGATCCCATGGACTGGACTGTGGGTGCCTGTGCTCACCCCCATTTGGCCACTGTCTGTCTTGCAGGCGGATCCCCCTGGAGGATGTCCCCGAGGATGAGGACGAGTGCAGCGCCTGGCTCCACAAACTCTACCAGGAGAAGGTCAGTGAGGGGCAGGATGAAGCCTGGGGCAGGGTGTCAGACCGCTAACTCAAAGGTCTGTGGTTCAAATCCACCAGCTGCTCTATGGGAGAAAGATGGGCAGTTTCTTCCCATAAGGAAGCACTGGTGGCCTGGTGGCAAGCAGCTGTGTTGCAATCCCAAAGGCAGTTGGTTCAAATCCATCAGATGCTCTGCAGGAGGAGGATGGGCAATCTCTTCCTGTGCAATTTACTGCCCCCAAAAGCTGCTGCAGGGTCAGCTGTCAGTTCCAACTCGACAGCACACAACAACTCCAATTTCAAGGTTAACTTCCATTTCTAGGTCACCCAGCAACAATAAAAGAAGGAAAACCTGTGGGTGGAAAGGACAAAGGGGGGTGTGATGGCCCCTCAGCCTTTGCCCCCGTCTTTGCCCATGTTAGTGCAGTGTCCTCGTGTGGTCAGCTAGTTTCAGAGCCGCCCCTGCCCCGTCCTTGTATCATTGGCCTTCCCATGAAGAAGGGTGTTGGCTGGGTGGTCCACACGGACATGTCCAGGCTGCAGCTCAGGCCAGGATCCTGTCTCCGCCCCTAGGACGCCTTCCAGGAGTACTACTATCGCCGGGGCATCTTCCCGGAGACGCCCATTGTGCCCCCTCGGCGGCCCTGGACGCTGCTCAACTGGCTCTTCTGGGCCTCACTGCTGCTCTACCCCTTCTTCCGCTTCGTGGTCAACATGGTCAGCAGCGGGTCCTCCCTGACCCTGGCCAGCTTTGTCCTCGTCTTCTTCATGGGTAAGTGCTGTCAAGTGGGGGTCCATTGTTGCAGATCCAGGGTAAAGTAATAATGAGACAGGCAACCAAGAAAGAAATAAGAGAGAGTAAAGACAGGGGGCCAACCAGATGCTCTGCCGGGGAAGGAGGGACAATTTCCTCCTGTACCAGTCAGATCTGATTTAATGGCACACACACACAAAAATAATTAAAAAAAAAAAAGACAGGGGGCCAGCAGTCCTGATGACTGAAGCACCCAAGCTATGCCTCTCTGTGTATTTATTGAGAATCATCAGGAAGGTAAACAAAAGATAATCACAACAGAGTGTTGTGTTATGTGCCTTTCAGTTGCCTGTGACTCATAGCGACCCTGTGTACAAAAGCCCTAAATCCTGCCCTGTCCTGTGCCAGTCACATTGTCTCTGACACACCCATCCCAATTACCCCAGTCACTGAATCAATGCACCCGATAGAGGGTCTTCCCCTCCTGCACTGTCCCTCCACCCTCCCAAGGGTGACGGGGTCTCTCCAAGGACTAGTCTTGCAACATGTCCAAACTATGTTAGATGAAGCCTCAGAATCCTTGCCTCCAAGGAGCAGCCCGGTTTAACCCTCTCTAGGATGAATCTGTTTGTTTTCTTACCATTCCATAGTACATTCAATACTCTTCTCCAACATCAAAGCTCAAAGGCATCAATTCTTCTTCTATCCTCCCTAGTCATTGTCCAACTCTCTAATGCATGACAAGTGATTGCAACAACCACAGCCTGTATCAGGTGCACCTTAGTCTCCAGAGTGACACCATTGCTCTTCAATACTTTAGAGAGGTCCCTAACAGCAGACTTTCCCATGGCAATGTGCCTTTTAATTTCCTGGCTGCTGGTGCCAAGACTGTTGACTATGGAGCCAAGCAAACTAAAGCTGTGTACAATCTCAATCTCTTCACCATCCATCCTGATGCTGCCAGTTGGTCCAGTGGTGAGAATCTTTGTCTTCTTGACATTGAGCCTCAATCCATATTGGAGGCTGCAATCCTTGACCCTCTGCAGTAAGCGCTTCAGGTCCTCCTCAGTTTCAGCAAGCAGGGTTGTGTCATCCGCATAACGCAGATTGTTGATGGATCTTCCTCCAATCCTGATGCCACACTTCTCCCTATAGAGCCAAACCTGCCTTCTGCATATAGGTTGAAAAGGTATGGAGATAGGACACTATACAGAGGTAACTTGTGGTCGCTGTGAAGCTGAACACTGTGACACTGACGTGTCAAATGCTTTAAGGGTTATCCATGGTGGACAGTGTTTGGTGAAGCTCCCCAGGTAAAACAAGCTTGGAAGCAAGAGTGGCATCCACATCTTAATAGCTTGCCTCCAGAATCCCTATGAATCTTGAGCAAGGATGAAAGTCGTACAAGTGTCGAGGACTTTTGTTTATAGGGTCGCTATGAGTTGTCAACAACTTGAGGGCACTTAACAACAACAACAACAACAACAACAACATATCCAGATATAGCATTTGGTTTATTATTAATATTAAATTTTATATTTGGCTTCCCACAGTCCATCCCACTTGGGCCGGTGTGGTGTCCATGGCAAGAAAAAGCCAGACCTCAGGAGGCTGGGCAAACATGGGAAATGTATCCCGCGCCGGGTCAGAGCCAGGCACAGCTGCTGGTGCCCACTGGCAGAGCCTCCGCACTTGCCCCTCAAAAGCTCCCCTGCCTCCTGAGAGAGAAACGATCCTGCCAGCAAGAGCAGGGAGTGGTCCCTTGTGTGAGCTGGGCCAGGCCTGGAGGGTTGGGAAGCAGCCTGGCTGTGTGGACACGCTGTGTCGGTCTCGTGACCCACGTGGGCCGGGCAGGACCTGCGTTCCAGGGCTGTGACTCCTTGTGAGCTGGCCTCCCTGCGAGCGCTCCTCCCTTCGAGGGGGACCCCTGGTGTCACCGCTCAGCTCCCTGACCTGGGGAAGTCTGTGGGGCCATCTCAGCTCCCTAGTGCTGGTAGAATTGAGATACCATGAGTAGGTGGCTTTGACAAACAGGAAGTCACGTGCTCACAGTTCACGAGGTCCACACTGGGAGTGTTGGCTCTGAAGGAGGTGTCAGTGGGCCTAGCCTTCTTTGCAGGTCTCCGTGTGGCCTCGCCTCCAGAGTTGAGGTGCTTCCTGGGGCAGGAGCCCGAGTCCCAGAGCACACACTCCACTCCTGGCAGATGTCTTGGTGCCCCTCACACCTTTGCTTCTGTCTCCTGAGATTAAAGGTGCTGCAGGCTGGTCCTCGGGGAACTCTCGGTGGATCCGTTAGCACTGCCGTGGGGTCAAGGGGTACTGTATCCCACCCTTAATCATGGTTTCATAGACGTGGAGGGCCATTCTATTATAGCTCCCACATTTTATTAGTGTATACCTGTTTTGGGGGCACAGTTCAGTTCTTCATAGTCCACTGTCCTTGAAAGTCCTTCACAGGCCCACCTAGGTGACCCTCTCTTCAGAGTCATTGCCAAGTATAAGCTGAGTCCAAAAGACTTTGCACAGGACTGACATCGGGGTTGGGGGGAGACTGAGAAAGGGGATAAATGAAGTATACTGCATTGAAACAGATGCAGGAGAGAACCGTTTAAAAGGGATATGTGATTAGGTATTAGTCATGACAGGAGTCCAGAACGAAGGCTGCATAGTGGAGTGGACCTGGGGGGAGGGATTGTATAACAGTGAAAAAATTTTTCTTTTACTTTTCCAAGAGAAGAGCAAACTGGGGGAATGGAGTGGGCAGGGAGAAAAGTGCAAGCAATAGTGGTGAGTGAATGGAAATCCAAAAGCTCTGCAAATTTTCTTTAAAATTAATAATATTCGCACAATGGAATACTATGCTGCATTAAAAAACAAGGAACTCATGCAATATTATTCAAAATGG